ATGTTGCCCTGTTTTACTTGGCCACTGGCTGGAAAAATCAGCACTCCTAAGCTAGACACCCCCTTACTAGTTTTTCACAAAATATGTGAACAGGGCCTCTGGCCTTGAGCTGAGGCTTCACAGAGATGGCTACATTTCTAAGATAAAAAAGTTATCAACTGGGCTCCATGGTAACAGCTGGCAAGGAAAAAAGAAAAAGTTCTCCTCTTCCCAGGTGTCCTTGAAAAGTTAACTTGCCCAGAACAGAGAAAAAACAGAAACAAAAACTGCTTTTTGTGAACTTCTGCAGACTGGAAACTTCTGAGCCCCTTCCCTTACATGTTGAGTACAAAATTCTAAAACTACCTAAACTTGGGATTCAAGGGATTAATTGATTACAACAGAAGCAATGCCCTCTGAATCCAGTTGCAACCAAATAGAACTGTTTCCCTATCTTCAGTGCTATCTTAGGTGCCTTGCCTTGTCCGTCCCTACAACAGTATAATTCTATATACTTAAACATTATTTATGTTTTCATAAAATGGTCAACAGATGTGATTAATTATGTAATGGTGCAGATGTTTCCTAGAGTGCTCTATCATGACGCAGGTTCATTTAAAGATCAAATAAGGGGACATACAACCCGGTTCCGCCGGGAACCTGTATCCCTCACTCTAGCCATCTTATTAGGAATGGGAATTGCTGCAGGGGGTGGGCACAAGAACCACTGTCCTGGTCCATGGGACACAACAAATGACCCAATTATAAACAGCAATGGACCAAAACTTAAAGATATTAGAAACCTCCATCACAGCTTTGCAGGAATCTTTAACCTCTCTCTCTGAAGTTGTTTTACAGAACAGGCGAGGGTTGAACCTCCTCTTCATGAGAGAAGAGGGCCTTTATGCTGCATTAAGGAAAAAATGTTGTTTTTATGCCAACCATACTGGAGTTATAAAAAAATCTATGAGTAAATTAAAAAAACGCCTTAAAGAGCGTCAATGAGAAAGAGAGACCCAAAAAGGGTGATATAAATCTTGGTTCACACAGTCCCCCTGGTTAACTACACTTTTATCAGCCCTGGCAGGTCCTTTAATAATTCTTATATTGTTGCTAACTCTAGGACCCTGTTTGGTCAACCATGTACTTTCCTTTCTCCAATCCCAAATCGGATAAATCAAACTTATGGTAATCAGACAACAATATACCCCACTAACAGACATAAAATGTGACACCCCCCAATGATCACTTTTATGATTAAAAGTAGCCAGAAGAAGAAGTGGAGAATGAAAGGTTAATAAAATAGGTACTTATCACTCCGTTTTTCTATATGCTTAACAAAACACTGTTGAAATCTTAATAACTGTTTGCTAATCTTGTTCCCATAATGTGCTGTCCCCAACTGTGAACTGTTTGCTAATCTTGTTCCCAGAATGAGTTGTCCCCAACTTCCAAACTACAAAATGTAACTTCTCTCCCTGCCCTCTCCAGGGAAAGTATATAAGCTCTGCTTAAGCTGTTCTCAGGGCTCTATCTCTCTTTGCTATAGAGAGCTCTGGGCCCCAGCATGCTGGTCTCCAAATAAACCCACCCTTCTGCTGTTGCATAAGAAAGTCTCTTGTGGTCTCTTCCTCCGATGTTTCGCCCAACCCTAACAATAGTAAATGCTGAAATTGGAAAATTTGAGTCCTCCAAATATGCTATTTTTCAAGATAAATTTGTCCATTTATGTTCCTTTCAATTTCATGCTAATTTCTAGAATTCTTTCTCTACAAAAAGAGTGTCAGAATTTTGATATGCATTGCATGACACTGTGGAACAGTTTTTGTGATATTGCCATCGTATTGATATTCTTTTGATTCATGAACATACAGATATTAAAATTTTATTAGTGTGGTCTTTTCTTATTCAATGATAATTTCTAGAAGTGTATCCATCTTTCCTTCCCTAATTAAATTTATCCCACCATATACTATTATTTTAGATGTTATTTTGTGAATAACAAATTTGTCTTAAATTCATTTTTCTGTATTGGTGTTGAAATACCCAGGAAAAAACAACTTTTGCATTGATCTTATGCCTTACATCCTTGCAGGATTTGATTATTAGTTCTGAGACTTTTTATGGAATTTTTGATATATGGGATCCTATTTTTTTTATTGTTTGTCGTTCAAAACATTACACAGTTCTTAATACATCATCATGAATAGAGATAATCTGATTTTGTTCATTTAGGCTTGAATGCTTTTACTATGGTTCTTTTCTGATTGATTCAGCTAGAATTTCAAGTCCAGTGATAAGTAGCAATAATAAAAGTGTATGTCTTTGTCTTACTGCTGATTATGTGGAAGGTTTTTAGCTTTTTAAAAAAACCTTTGTTTTATTTATTTATTTTTTTATATGGTGCTGAGGATTGAACCCAGTGCCTCACTCATATGAGGTGAATGCTCAACCTCTGAGCTACAACCCCAGCCCGGTTTTTAGCTTTTATGCTGTTAAATATAGACTTATATAATATTATATATGCTTCACCAGAAAAAAATTGTAAAAGCCAAAAAGAATACATAATAAATGAAGTAGAAAATATAGATCCATAGAAGCCAAAACTTTGTAAAATTTAAAGAGAAAGTGGAGGGTTACCTCAGCCTCAAAATGGACAGGAAGAGTTATAAGACACTGATATTCAACTAGAACCTATTTGTAAATGGACTATTTTAGATTAAGTTGCAGTTAGCTGGGTAAACTGAGGCTCTGTTCATTCCTGTTCCACTGCTTTTTGAACCTTCCTTCATTAAGGTACACAATTCAGCAGAAACTCAGTCTATTGTTAACCAACTGTCTCTCTGTACCAGGAAAGTTTCCTGAGTAATTCTTTAGAAATGTGAATGTACTCAAACAGTTCTTCTATGTACCTCTATATCTCATGGAAGTCTGATGGAAGATCTAACATGGGACAAAGTACAGGAGGAGTCACAATTTAGTGGAAGATAAGGCTGCCTTTTCTTTTTCTTAAGGTTGCCTTTTCTGACATAGACTTTTTTTGTTTCTTTTTAAATTAACTTCAGCCATGAATATCTGATCATTATAGATGAGATACACAATTTTATATGCTGAAGAATGTCAACCGAAAGCATACTCTCAAATGATACCCAACTCAAGATGGCATTCATGTGTGATAGCATCAGTTATAAACTGTATGGTAGTTAAGAATTTCCCTAAATAATACCTTTTCTGAATGAAAAGGAACTTTTGTACAAGGAGTTGAGAAATCTTCCATGCCACTTTGTACTTTTTGTGCAAGAGCTCTCTGGGCTTTATTTTGTGACCATTTCCTGGACCACTGTTTCATATTCAGCTTTCTCATGTCACCACAGTGACAAAAAGTCCTGTATAAACAGGAAATGGTATGATGTGATTCTTATAGTGTCCTCTCTCTAATACTAGGAGCAAATAAAAACCATATATATTCCCAACTTACTCCCTAAGGAAATATCTAAGTGCTGAGAAAGGTTGGAGTTTCTTGCTTGTTTTCTCAGGGAAGGCACCCTGATTCCAGATTTCTGCAGAAAAGAGGACTGGGAGTTTTTAAATCATTTTGCATGTATGGATTTGTGTGCAGGAGGTTTTGGATGTACCTATATGTGAGTACATGTGTAGTGATTGTGAATGTGTTTCTGTGTTTCCCCAGAAAATATGTTCCTACACGTACAGCACAATACAAGTGGCAATTTAAAAAATCCACACCTCTGTACACATCATAGAAATCAACTCACTTAATGCTCACCACAACATAATATGACGGTTTCTTTAATATCATCATTTCTTAGATGGAGATGATGCAGTGACCCCTGCAGGGTCAAGAGATCCTGTAAGAGGAAAAGGCAAATGAGAAGCCAGGCACTGGAGCCTGTGCTGAGATTCTGGGCCTCAGAACTGTATTTATCACTCAGCTGAAGGATAACTAACTAGTCACCATGCCAGGGAGTTCTAGCACATGTGTGTA